AGGCTAAATGAAAAATTTAAAACAGCATACTAGAATTTGGGATATAGCAAAAGTAATTCTAAGAAAGAAATTTATGCCTAGTAGTGCCTACATTAAAAAGTCTGAAGAACTCAAATAAATAGCCTAATGAAACAATTCAGTCTTAGAAAATCAAGATAGAATCCAACCCAAAACCAGTAAAGGAAAGAAACAATAAAGATCAAAGCTGGAGTCAATAAAAGAGTAAAAAAAAAAATAAAAGTTCAATTAAATAAACCACTGTTACCTTAAAAAGATAAACAAGATGGATAAACCCTTATGCAGCTAACCAAATGAGAAAAATGACCCAAATTAAAAGAATCAGAAGTGAAAAAGGAGATAAAATTACAATGGATAATATTGAAATCTGGATGATCTGGGACTGTTTTGAAAACTTATATTCCAATAATTTGGAAATATAGAAAACATGAATAAATTTCTAGACATATAGGACCTCCCAAAACAAAACAGGATATATAAAACTTAAATAGATGAATCATAAGCAGTGAGATTCAAGCAATAAGTCTTCCATAAAAGAAAAACCCAAGACTAGACAGATTCTCTGATAAATTTTATGAGACATTTAAAAGAGAACTAAAACCAATGCTCCTCAAGCCATTCCTGAAATAAAGAAATATTTCCAAACTCACTAAAGCCAACATCACTGTGATACAAAAACCAGATAAGAACACAACAACAAAGAAACCATAGACTAATATCCTTGATTAACACAGACACAAAAGTCCTCAATGCAATTCTTGCAAGGTGTATTCAACAACACATTGAAAAGATCATACGTCGTGATCAAGTTGATTTCATATTGGAGAATGTAAGGATGGTTCAACATATACAAATAAATAAATGTAATACAGTACATAAAGAAAAGCAGGGATAAAAATCACCTGATAATCTCAATAGATGCAGAACTTGTGAATTCGATGTCCCTTTATGATAAAAGCCCTGACAAAACTAAGTATAGAAGGATCTCACTTTGACATAATACAGGCTATATATGAGAAACCCAAACCCAGCTTCATACTCAGTAAGGGGAAACTGAAAGCAATTCCCCTAAAATTGGGAGCAATACAAGGGTGTCTATTCTCACCAATCTTATTTAATATGGTACTTGAAATTTTAGTCAGAGCCATCAGGCAAGAGAAAAACTAAAAAAGACACAAATAGGAAAGGAGGAAGTCAAATTGTCCCTGATTTGATTATATTTTTAGAAAACTTTATAGCTTCCATCAAAGTATTATTAAAAGTAATATAGCCAGGGATTTAGCTCAGTGGCACCGTGCCTGAGTTCAGTCCCCGATACCAAAAACAAACAAACAAACTAATATAAACAAATTCAGCAATTAGCAGGATACAAAACCAAAGTACAAAAGCCAGTGGCTTTTATGTACACCAATAATGATTCAACTGAGAGGAAAATCAGAAAAACAATTCCATTCATAATAGCTTAAAATACCTTCTTACAAACCTAAACAAAGAGGTTAAAGACCCCTACAAGGAGAATTATAAAACATGGAAGAAGGAAATTGAAGAAAACTATCATAGTCACTTTCTTGTTGCTGGGGAAAATATACCCAGTATCCACAACCTAAAGGAGTAGAGGTTTATTTTGGCTATCTCAACCTATGGTCTGCTAGTTCAAGACAAAAACAGCACAATGGAAGGACATGGGTGGAGGACAGCACTCATTCCAGACAGCTAGGATGCAGAGAGAGAGAAGGGAGAAGCTGGGTAAGGAAGCAAAGCCTTCTAGGTCATGCCCCAAGAGACTTGCCTCTTTGGCTAGGCTCCACCTCCTAACAGCACATTCAGCCCCTCAGGGCCAGTTACTTTCCCAAAAGCCCATCTTTGAACACACGAGGCTTCTGGAGGTCCATAACAAAGACACTGAAAGATGGAAAGACACCCCCCACCCCCCCGCTGCCATGTTCATGGATTGGCAGAGTGAATGTTGTTAAAATGGCCACCTTATTGAAGGATATTTTTGCCTGATGCAGAATTCTAGTTTGACTCTTATTTTATTTCAGTGCTTTAAAAAAATGTCATTTTATCCTTTTGTTTTTTAAGAAAATAAATATTTTTATTCAGTATCATTCAAAACATTTTTATTGGCAAATATTAATTACATAGAATAATGGCTTTGTTGTGGCATATTCAAGGCTACATATATTGTACTCTGGTTCCAGTTTTATAGGGTTTGTTAAATAATTAAATGTCATTGTTAATGGAACTTCTTGAAAATTCTGTACCCTTCTGTGCAGTTTTTCAGACTTTTCTTTTTCCGTATCCTCAGCAGATTAAGTTGGACTAAATATGGGTTTCTTTGTGTATTTTATTCTTCAAGTTGTTAGTACTTCTTGAATCTTGAAGTACTTGATATCTTTTGTAGTTTTTAGAAATATTTGTCTAGTATCTTTTCAAAAATTACTGTTGTTATATATTCTGTCTTCACCCTTTGTGAGATTCCTCAATATACATCACATCTTCTTCTGCTCATCTTTTTAACCTATATTTTTCCTCTCTTTCTAACTTCTATTTTACTTTCATATTTTTTCTACTGATTGCTTTTGGAAATTTTAAAAAATCATCTATTTGTTTTAATTTGGTAGTTTTTGTCCAGTTCAACAATCTTCCTTTCAGATAACCCCAGTCGCCTTTAAATTCACCTGTTGAGTTCTCAATCTCAGTGATTACCTTTCTGCTTCTAGAATTTTCACTTCATTCTATTTTTAAAATTTGAGACGCCTGGTGAAGGAGTCCATTTTGATACCAAGTTGTTAACTGTATGAATTTCACTTATCTTTAAGTGTATGTCTGTACAGTCCAAAATCAGGATCATCTTGTAGGCCTGTTTCTATATTCTAGCCTTATTTCTGATACTTCTGTTAATAATTGGATGGTTATCAAATCTTGTGTAGGACATTTTAGCAGTTTAAGACTATGTTATTGTATTCTACAGAATACTCATCTCATCTTCTGGCTAAAGAGTAGGCCATGGGCACTGTCTCAACCCAATGGGAAATGAACCTTCTAGTGTTTGTTTTCAGACATGTGTTTGCACATCATCATAGAATGTAACCTTTCACAGTTCTGTAGAGTTTGATTTGTGCACCTACCTCCTTATTAATTGATGTATCAACTTGGAGAGTGCCAGATGCCCAGCACAACTTTTTATTCTATCTGCATGGCTCTTCATCCTCTTCTGCACCAGTCAGGAGTCAGCAAATAGCTCAAGGGAAAGAGTGCAGAGTATCAAGCTCATTTTTCTATACTTATTCCTCTGAGCTTTTGAATTTTCAAGTCTTGGCTGCCTTGACAAACCTGAACTCCTATTTTCCTATTCCCAAACCCCATGAGATTTTCAAAAGCTCTGCTGGCTCTTCACCTGTTATTGGCTATTCTAGTCTTTTTGCTCAGATGAGAATTAATGAACACACTAGCAGAAAAATATCACATGGAGTGTTGAGCTCATCTAAATGAACTTCTTTCTAGAACTTTAGCTTGTTGACTGCCTAGGACATTCTCTGGTGCCCTGAAATACTTGCTTTTTGTCTGTTTTCCAGATTTTCTAGACCTTGGTAGAAGTGTTGGTTTGATGTAAGCCACTCTGTCATAGTTGAAAGTAGACAAATCTCCAAATCAATTTTTAGTTAAAATTGTTTAATCAATGTTTTAATTACAAGCTCATGTTTTAAAGTCAATGACATTCTAAACTAGAGCCTCTCATTCCCCCGTTTTTGTTACAGTGGGGTTGAACACAGGGCCTTTGCACTCAGCCCTTTTTGATTTTTTCTGATTTTAAGACAGGGTCTTTCTAAAGCACTAAATTGCCAGGCTGATCTAGAGCTTGCAATCCTCCTGACTTAATTTCCCAGAGCTCTGGAATTAAAGGTACACACAGCTACTAGAGTTCCATTTGATCTCATTTAAGAAACTATTTTACAGTGACCCTAAAGATTATAAATAGTTTTTTAAAAATTCTTATTCACATTATTGTCTATAACCCTAAATCATAATGTTTGAAGCATAGCATTCAATAAATACATGGAAAAATATCTGAATAAGTAAGTTTCTCAATGTATTACAGGTATATGTTTGATATATTGTATTAGAAACCCCAGACCTTTTTCCTGTCTGAGAAGTTATTCATTAATGCTACATCATTCAAGAGACAAATAAAGATGCACACACACACACACACACACACACACACACACACCATGTTATAAAATATTTTTATGTTTGAAAATTTTAAAACGTCAATGTTTTATCATGGGAAAAATCAGATTTTTTTTGGATATCCTAATACTTTTAAACTTTTCTTTTGTTTTGCTCTAACATATTTAGGGAAGAATACAGTAAAATTTTCAGTGCTTTTAATTTAAAATATAAAGAGAGAAAACTGTCAACTGCTTTGGATAATATCAGGTCAATAAATTTTGGATCCAGTTTGAGAATCTAGGTTGTTTTTATATTACCTATCCAAAAATCAGTGGTTGATCTTATGAATGTTTTATTTGAACTTTCTGAAGAAGAAGAAAAATGGAAAAATAGCACAGTTTTAATGAACATTAGTAACTGTCAATGCCTCCAAAAACACTTTATTTGTTTGCTGTCTTTTTTAAACCTAATGGAATACAGTTAAGTGACTGACAGGATATACTTTCCCTAACCCCAAGCACAAAGATGTAAATTGCATGTGGTGTCCTGGGGATTAAAGATATTATTATTATTATTATTTTTATTTTTATTTTTTTTAGTACTGGGGATTGAACTTAGGACCTTGTGCTTGTGAGGCACGTGGCGGCACCACTGAGCTAATAAATATATTTTTGGACTAGAATAATAATTCTAATTTAATTGCCATTCTCTGGGATTTTAAGGTGATCATGAAAGACAACATCATGATTCCTTTTATTGCCAAGATGTATCAGGATGATTTTCTTCTCTCTTTTTTAAATCCCTAGAGCCTTGCACATTGTCTTCTGATGAAATGCAGAAGAACAATTTACTCTTGAAATGGTATTTTGACAATAGACCACATTTTCTCCATGGCGAGTATATTGAGTTCCTTTGTAGTAGAGATACTTACATAGTGGAGTTATCGCTCATTGGATCTGAGCTTAGAGTGCAGTGTGACAGGGGACAGTTGAAGTATCCAACCTGTATTCCAAGAGGAAGGTAAGAAGAAGTACCTGTGGCACACCTTGATGTCAAGATATTCATTGTGTTATAAATTTCAGAAATATCACGTTCTATAGCAGCCCTATGTTATTAAGAGTGAAAAAGAATTGTATTTTCTTCATTTTTTAAAAAACCGAGCAAAATCCTGGAAGTATGAATTATTTCAACAAACTTTGTCAGTTGCCTGTAGTCAAAGTGCTATTTGCCATTTGATGTTTGTGACACTTGGACAATTGGAAAAATAAACCAATCTGTACGTGCAATATTTAAATGTTACACCCAATGGAGTACTGCTCTGTCATAAAGAAGGGTAAACTTGAATCATTTGTAGGAAAATGAATGCATCTTAAAATCATAAATATTAAGTGAATCAAAATATGAAGTGAAATAAATCAGACACACAAGCTTAAATATCACATGGTTTCTCTTCTATGAGAACCCCAAAGTATAAAGAACAAAGTAAAAGACAGCTGATAGGGAATAGGGAGAGAGAGCATTTGCAAATGGAAATGGGGACCAGGAGGTGGAGATGGGGAGGGGAGCGGACAGCAGTGAAAATGAATGAAGATATGTTATGGACATGTAATCAGTATATGCTGCATGTGTGAACTAATAAAAAATTTTAAAAAAATTAACCATTGTGTTATGAGATAAAAAACAAAATAATATTTCTCTCATGTCTTACTGTCAGTTCTTAGTTCATATGTAACAAATAAAGGTTGGGAAACGTAAATTTACGGACCTTTATACTGAGACAAGAGAATAATTATAATTACTAAAATTATGATATTTATTTTCAGGATTGCATTTGTTTTTGTTTTTTTCAAAGAGGGTCTCACCATGTCATTCAGCGTGGCCTGGAACTCACTATGTAGTCCAGGTTGGCCTTGAACCCACAGCAATCCTCCAGCCTTAGTCTCTTGAGTTCTGGCATTACAGGAATGAGCCGCCATGCCTGGCACAACCATAATTTTGTATTAGGATTGGAATCACTTTCTGAAGTGTTTTTCCATAAGATAAATGAAATATATATTTTTACTGCCTGATAAGTGAAAAATAATCGTGTTCTTTTCTTAGAATTAAAAAAAGGATCAGAATTTTGACCTTTTTGGAGATACAATCTAAAATATCTTGTGTTTAACTATGAATATTAAATATATACTAATGGAAAAGTGCAAAAATCAAGTACATGAACTACCTGAAGATAACTTTTTAGATTCTTGTCACACTATAAAAACTTTCATAAGAATTACTAGTGGAAACATTTTTATTTCTATTTTTTATTATGATAAAAATCAATCAAAATAAATTTTGTAAAAATATTTATATATTAGTTAAATGTTTTGATATATTTTGGATTCCTCATTTCAAAGAGAAAAGAAGAATAAAAACAGGAAAAATTCAGAAAAAAGGTGAATTAGTTTAGTATATGATACCGAGTTTTCTAAAGGGAACCAATAGCATTATTTTCCAAGTATCTCTACTTGATCTTATCAGTATCTCACTATATGAAATATTGACTTGCTAAGAGCTTGTAATTAATACTTAACTAGAATTGATGCTTATTTGAAAAAATTTTCACTCTCATCAAGCATTCCTTCTTATCAAGAATCTTTGAGGACATAAAAATGAATGTCAGAAAGAAGAATAGTATTTCAACACACCATAAGATCGAGATGAAACACAATTTTTAGAGGATTATGTTGAATTATAAACCTCTTGGTATTTACTTGCTTGAAGATTTGAATCTGAATTGTTTCTGTTGGACATTTTCTTTATTTATAAATAAAATCCCCACATACCATTTCCTTTCTAGTTTGGATAATTGGAAAGTTACTCTAACCATTAATGTATATCTTTCATTTGTTAAAAAGTGATCACAAAAGGGCTAGGGATGTAGCACTGCACCTGCCTGATGAGCTCAAGGTCCTGAGTTCAATTCCTGACTTAAAAAAAAAACAAAATACAACCCTTCCTGCCCCCAAAAGCTGATCACATCAATTTATTTCTGTTTTATAATATGCATTTTCTGGACTCTACAGTTATCTTGAATATATGTGAAAAAATTTACATTCGCATTTGTCTTTATCTTCTTTATTAATATTAAGCTTCTTTTGCTTTTGACACAATAATTAGGTCCATGGTAAAAAAACCAAACATAGTAGAAATAATAAATTATAAGATATATGTGACCATTATATTTGCCACAAGATTAATAATAAAATTTGGGGGGTAATGAACTACCCCACATTCAAATATTGTCAAAAGAACATGGTTTAAAAAAGAATGACTTTTGCCATTATAAGTAATTTTTTTAGGTTGGTTCATTGTTGGAATCATGCAACTTACAAAATACTTTCTTTCATTTCTTTTTTTTATTAGTACATGTCCCTAGCAGATACTGTTTATATTCCTTGAGTGGAGTTGGTGCTTGTACACAACACATCTCAGTTCCTTTATCCCCTTTCCCTCCCCTTCCCTCACCACCTTACAAAATCTCAAGTCAGTGGGTCCTGCAAGCAAGATGAGAGTGTTAGGGTCACCGAGGTCTGTTGTGATCTGAAAGGAACAGTTCAGGTGTCATTTCAGTGCATTCAAACCCTAAATAGTAGTACTCTCTACACACTAGGGTCCCTGATGGGACTGGCTACTGGCATTAGAAAAGCACACTTTTCCTCTGTAGAAGCTGTCCTGTTCATAGAACTCAAGATTGTGAGGACATTCTTCAAGCTTCTAACTCACAACTCTCGGCTATGAAATAGCTTCTTCTGAAAATGAAGCCAGAACAACCTACCTTTGTGGATCAACTATTAATTCATTCGATGTTTTAGAATTCTCCTTAGGTTCTCCTAGTCAATCTGTTATAGTAGGTTTCCATAGGGACCTCATTATATTGGAATTTGATTAAAATTAAATATTTATAGCAAAGTGTAAATTCTTTTTAGTAAAGTTCAACAGTCAATTAATGAACATGACTGAGCAGCTGTTATAGCCCAGGAAATATGCTAGGTAATGCAGGAATCAGAGATGAATAAAATTCATCTTGTTATTTCAAGGAACTCTCAAAACAATGAACTACTCAGTTTAGTAAAAGAGACAAACATATACTAGTGGATGCAAAGTCAGATGTCCAAGATACCAGGCATGAAACATGGATACAAAGTGAAGGTTGTCTAGTGGCATTTCTGGTGAACTGGAAGTGGCATGCTCTGTTTTTTCCTCAAGGTGAAGTATTGTCAAGTGGGAATATGTACCCAGTCTTGCCATATCTTCTGATTGTTAATTGTGAGATCTACTGATTTTTATACATTGGAAGGAGATAAAACATATTCTAGAGACAAGACTGTCAAAGCTGCCTATTTGTAAGTATGAGAAATATATATATCAAAATATACAATGAATGTTTAGATTGTTAAAAGTGTTTTTTTTCAGACATTGCTATTAATTTTCTCAAGATATTCCACATTGCTTCAAACATACTTATCCCATTGTTCTTGCCACTTTCTGAAGCAGTTCTGGATGTCTTCCTTCATGAGTGTCTTTAGGAGATGTGTTTTAAAAAATACCACAAATGCTGCTACCAAGTACCATCCAACAGAAAGGCAAGCTCATAAAATCATATGGTGTGTCCTCATCCACCTCATTCACCAGATCTGACTCTGAATTTTGACTCTTCCCCAAAGTCAAAGTGACCTTGAGAGTTAAGGATTTTGAATCAATTGAGGAAGCCATGACAGTACAACTAAACACACAAAAGAGGACTCCCAGAGCTGCTTTGAAAAATGACAAGAATTATGGGCTAAGTGCATTTGAAGTGAGGATTAATGACAGTGTGTCTTCTACTGGAAACATTTTTTAAAAATTTGAACATTCTCTGTATTTTTTACTACACCTCATATCAAATGCTTAAAAATCAAAGTATGAAAAGTACAATCATGGAAGCATGTAGGACAAGACAAAATGGTGGTGCTAAGGAGGGCACCCAAAGTTTAGTGATTGGGGATAGGATCAGGTGCAACGTTCCATGAAAACCAGAAGATATGAGGCTAAACATGGCATTCAGATATTACTCACCTTAAAAAGAACAGGATCAAACTGAGACTGCAGTAGTTTAAAGAATGAATGAAAAGTACCAAAAACATAGACATGAATGGAGTGATCCTGCCGCTAGGTGGACAGCGACTAAGAAGATAGGGATGGGGGCATTTTTATTAATAAAATGAAAGAAATTTGAGCATTAAATGTAATTCCATTTAAAATTCATTAAAAATTTAAAATTAATTAAATTAAATGTAATTCCATTTGTAAAGAAGGACAGAAGATGCTGGGCAAATATTGCATGATACAGTAGACTGCAGAGGATTTCTAAAAGAAATGAGAAGAGATGAGAACAAAAGCATAAGGAAGGGAATTGCTCCTTGGTGAAAGAAGGGACTGAATTTATGTCTGCAGTGAGGTCCTGGGATTGCTGATTTCTCTGTGAAGGATAGAAAGTCACTTGCTGAGAATCTAGGGTAGATAGATAGTTGGGAAGAGAAGTTGAAAAATGACCAAAATCCAGCAAGTTAAGGTGCCAAAACTGTGATAATAGCTTCTTTGAATTATTACTTCAATTAGATGTGTAAGGTGTTGAGGAAAATATTAATAATGTTTAAAAGAACTTTATGCTGTAAGATGAATTTCATCACAGTGAATATAAAAGTAAACTTTGCTTACTTAACTTGCCATCCTTGTAGTACATGGACACCAAGTCAAAGATCAAAGTGTCATTAACACAACGATCACCCTGGGGTGTTCCAAAGCTTAGAAGGGTGCTGCCTGCATCTGCACAGAAACCTGAATTTTTCAAAGGGAAGTTAAGAATTCATAGACAGCTGTCTTTTTCTTTATGAAAAAGAAAGATCAAAACACTAGAAAACATTATACATTTTTAGAAGTGTATTCAGGGGAACCCAGCATGCTTCCTTTGAGGAAAAGTGGAGAAAATAGAAGTCTAAAAAGTCTAACCGAAACCGAGAAGTAGTTTGCCTGATACATTTCTCCTCAAATATAAACCCTGCATCCCTTCCAAAAAGGGGAACCAAGAGGATGTAACTTTTACTTCCCCTAGTGGAATGCAGCCAAGTGAAAATTAGTAGCTAAATAATCCAAGAACCTACATTTATTATCAAATTGCATTTGATCGGAATCTGCCATTGTCAAGTCTGATGTGACCCCCGCCGTGGTCTGTTCCCACATCTTGGATTCAACCCCCAGTCGCCGCCTCTTTTTTAAATGTTTTAATTTCTTTTAAATGTTTTCATTTTTAATCCTACAGTTCATAAGCTCCTATGAAAGAAAATTCAATAAAACTCTAAACAAAAAAAGCATTAAAATTAAACTAATAGAATATAAATGGAAGACTATTAAAAAATATACAAGGTTCAACTTGCAAGGCACTTTGTTTATATATATTCTCAAGATATTAGAATATAAAAATTTAGTTTATTAATTTACTTAGAATCAAGTAAATTATTCTATGACTAGATATTTTTTAGATTACATTTTAAATATTTGTTATTTTTATCAAATATAACAGCTAGTCCGGCATCATAAAACAATTCAAACAACACAAATGTATTTAGGATAAAGAATGAAATTCCCTTTATTCCTCCAGTATCACAGATTATTTCTCAGGCTAGATGTTAGAGCTGTGAAAAGTTTGTCCTGTCTTTCCAGATGTAAAGATATTTGTTTCAATGTTTGTTTACATATGCAAATAGGATGTATTTATTACATATATGTATATATTGTTCTAGGACTTATGCTTTTTACCTAAAATATTATACCTAAAATATAAAATAATATCCATACATGTGAATTGATTTCCTTCTTAATAATAACTGCATAACATTTCAAAAGCTTGAGATAACATAATTTATTTATTCTTTGATAGCCTTTTCAGTTATTTTATCTTCAACACTTTCTCCCTTTTTTTCTTCCTCTTTTCCTTCATTCCTTCTCTATAGGTTATACTTGGAGGTCACATCATGAAGTAAAGTGAAAATGAAATAGCAACCCTTTAAAGATATTTAAAAAAACAAATACTAAGAAAAATGTTAACATTGAATAAAATTAAAAGATGAGGAGGGGAAGGGAAGGAAGAAGAACAAAAGAAGTCATAAGCAAATTTTATTATTTTTTTTCCTGGTAAAGACAGACAGACATTGCCCAAACATACAGGAAGGAGGTATTATTAAAATGTTTGCATAAATATAACTATATGAAAAATAAATTATCTTGCATAATGCTAAATAAATATAAAGACATTATAATTAACATAAGGAACAGAGAAACAGAACAACATAGTGAAAAGCTTTGAAAAACTGTACAAATACATACTATAGATATAACAAACTATAGGACTTAGACTGTCTATAATAAGAGAAAATAAGAAACAACTTGTCATGAGATAAAACAATAGTAAGCAAAGCAATGGCAAATGAAATAAGTGAGACACAATGAAAAAATACTGTATTATCCCACTTGTGGGATGTCTACAGCTATAAACTATACAGGGAAAGAAAATGGTGGTTAACTGTGGTTGGGTGGGAAAGAAAATAGTGAGTTTTTTGCTTAATAGGTACAGGGATGTTATCTTGCAGTATAAAAAGGGCTCAGGAAATGGATGTTGGTGATGGTTATACAATAGTGTGACTGTACTTAATATCAATATGTTTAACTTGAATTAAACATTATGCGATGTATACTTGGGTGGAACATTACATTGATATTTCTAATTTTGTTTTACAAATGAGTTAAATTGTGAAACTGTAGAAAAATGAAATCTTCTAAAACTTATTGAATAGCACTAAAGGATCAAATTTTTGAATCAACAGAATGAAAGACAAAGATCATATGATCATCTCAATAGATGCAGCAAAAGCTTTTGATAAAATCCAACATTGTTTTATGATTAACAAATTTAAACAAATTGAACATAGAAGAAATATACCTCAACATAATAAAGGATGTATATGATAAATCCACAGTTAATGTCATACTAAAAAAGCTGAAAATATGTCCTCTAAGCCCTGAAACAGGACAAAAATGCCTATTTTCACCTCTTTTATTTATGATGGAAGTCAAAGCTAGAAAAGGAAAAAGCAGTGAAAAGCACACAAACAAAAGTGGAGAAATTGAAATTATCCCTGTTTGCAGAGAATACAGTACAAAATATAGAAAAAAACCCCAAAAGATTTCATTCCAAAATGCTATTTGAACTCATAAATTCAGGAAAGGTACAGGTTGAAACACTACATAAAAATTTGGGAGAATTTTGTATACCAATTTTGACCACTTGCAGAGGTCATTGTTTTGGTCAGTTTCCATTGCTGGGAAAAAAATACCTGAAATCCACAACTTCAAGGAGGAGAGGTTTATTTTGGCTCATGGTTTCAGAAATTTCAATCCATGACCAGCTGGTTCCAAAGCAGAAACATCATGGTGGAAAGCATTGTGGAGAAAAACTGTTCAACTGATGGCATCTGAGAAGCAGAGAGCAGGGAGAGAGTCAGTAGCTTTTCATAGCCCATTCAGTTAACAACTCATCAGCGGGTTAACTGCTAAAGAAGTTAGCACCCCTATAATTCATTCCTTCTTCCAGGAGTCTCTAAATGCAATCAAGTTGATAATCGAGATTAACCAGCACAATCATGAAAGCAATCCGTATCATATGTTACAAATAAAATAAAATAAATACCAATAAATCTATCCAAAGACATGAAAGACTTTTCTAATATAAATACAGAATAATAATGAAAAAAACTTGATAGAGACATACAAAAAAATAGAATAGTTTCCATGTTCACGGATTGGAAAAATTAATATTTTTTAAATGTCCATGCTACCCAAAGTAATTTACAGATTTAGAGCAATCTTCATCAAAATACTAACATTTTTAACAAAACCAGCAAAACACTTAAAAATTCAAAGACCTTGAATAGCAAGCGTCTTGAGCAAAATGAGCAAAGCTGAATGAATCACAATACCTGATCTCAGGACTTAATGTAGGCGTATTGTAACCCAGACAGCATACTAACACAAAAATTGACATAGACAAGTGAACAGAATGGAAATCCTCCAAATAAATCCACACATTGATAGCCAACTGATTATCACTCAGCGTAAATACCAAGAAATTACAATTCAGAAAGGACAGCCTTTTCAAAAATGGTATTGAGAAAACAGGATCCATATTAAGAAAATGAAACTGGATCTCTACCTCCTATCATGTACAAAAGTCAACTAAAAATAAGCAACTAAATATAAAATTTGAATTATAAAACAGCTAGAAGAAATATAGTGGAAACATTTCAAGGAAACAATACAGGTAATAATTTTTTATTATACCGAAAGCATAAGACAAAAAAGTCAGATTTGTCCAATGTGATTATCACCTAGTATAGAATCTTCTTCTTAGAAAATAATCAACAGAGTGAAGAAACTTACAGAATGGTAGAAAATATTTGTAAGCTATTTATCTTGACAAAGGAAAAACTCCAAAAGAAACCCCAAAACTCAACAACAAAAAACCCTAAGCAATCCAATGAAAATTGGCAAGTTATCTGAATAGACATTTCTCAAAAGAAGAAATATAAAGATGAAACAAGCACATGAAAAATGCTCAACATCATTAGCCTTCAGGAAAATGCAAAGCACAACTACGATGAGATATCACCTCACCCCTGTCAAAACGGTTATTGTCCATAAAGCAAAACAACTAACGCAGAAGAGATATCTGCGCTATTTGCAACAACCATGGTATAGAATCAATCTTAGTGTTCATCAAAGGATGGATGGATAAAGATAATGTGGCATATACTCAATGAAATATTAGTCAACCATAAAGAGGAATAAAATCCTGACATTTACAACAAAATACATGGAACATTAAGACATATTAAGTGAAATAATCAAGACACAAGAAGACAAATACTCCATGTCCTTTTTTATACATGGAAGCTAAAAAAGTTGATGTGCAAGTAGGATAGTATTTACTACAGCCCTGGGGTGGGGAGGGTAAGAGACATATCTTACTAGTTTTAAGAATAGGCACAGACACTGTTAGATAGGATGAATAATTCCTAGCGTTGGAGGGTAATGATAGTTTACAATAACTTAGTACATATTTTATGAAAAAAACAGGAGAGATCAAGGTCTCTAAATTTAAAAAGTGACAAGGTTCTAGAAATTCTAATTACTCTTATTATTATCGGTGTACTTCGTACCTATATGTATTGAAATATCATACTGCAGTTGTGGTAGTTAATTGATTAATTGTCTACTTGACTGAGAATGCCCAACTGAATTGAGTCAGCATGGTTCTGGGTGTAGAAGACCCCTTTTGAGGAAGACTGTGGTCGGAATGATGTAAGAGGAGAATTAGAGGAAAGGATTTCAGCTGCTTTTCCTCAGAGGCGCTTCAGCTGTTCTCTTTGAAGGAGCGCCTGTGTTTGTCTTTGCCTTGGGCATTGTCCCGTGGGTTTCAGTGGAGATTCTTCCGTTGCCAGCACCAGCCTTTCAGCCTGCAGGCAGTTACTTTAGCTTCTAGCGCCAACCCTTCGACCTCCCAGTGCAGACCCCTTGGTCTTCCATGGAGGATCCTTCCCCCCACCCCAGGTGCAGACGCCTATGGGACATTGCCATGGGCTTCAGGCCCTGGGCTGGATCCTTCAGATCTCTAGCGTGTGGGCAAATCTTTTGTGCTCTTCTACATTTGATTCTGTGGGAGGCCATTGTAGGCCATTCTTGTAAATTTCTGGGTTCTGCATTAAATCTGATTCAGCGCATGTGCAGTCTTTTGAGGAGCCTTGTCCCAGCCCTGCAAGCTCTTGTAAGCACTAATGCAGAGCAGTCCATATATGCATGAATATTCTATGTTATTTAAAAAGAAAAAATTAAAATTAAAAAATATTACATATTGTGTGATCCCCAGTCAGAGGTTATTAGCAATGAGGATTGCAGGAATATGACAAATATAAAGATAGGGCACAATGGAGGTGGGCGGGGGATTGGAACAGTCCTATATATATGACTGGTTACGGTGGTATTTACTTGAATTTATACATGTGATAAAATTAATATCACATGCACACACAAATCAAGTTCATGGGAAAATAATGAGATCCACTAAGGTTGGTAGTTGAGTTAGTAGTTGAGCCAATATCAGGATATGTCAGTATGCTAATCGCAGTTATTATGCTATGATTATAAGAATGTCATCGGAGGATATCTTTGGGTAAAGGTACATGGTCATTATCTGTACTATTTTTACAACTTTCATTTTTGTTTAGTTAGTTTTTGTTTTTGTTTACAGGACCTTGGGCATATCAGAAAAGCACAGTACAATTAAGTTGTAGTGCCAGACCTGTATTTGCAACTTTTACGTGAATCTATGAATATTTCAAAACAAAACATTTTTAAAATTATATAACTTACGATATCTTCTTTTTACAGAACTTTTTTGAGAATAAGAATTTTCAATTTTGCTTGATTAGACACAGCCTTGTGCATATCCACTGACTTCTGGGTAACCCAAAGAAATGCCATCTTTCTGATGGTCTCTTTCTCCAAATTTCCATTTACTTTCTGGCTGGTCAACCATTTTGTTGTTTTTCCAACTACTCTCATTTAGAGAAATCAGGCTTCCCCGATGTCATCCCACTGTATTCTCTTCCTATTCACTGGTGTCCTTAAGCATGGGCTTTTCCAAAGCATCCAGGCATTCTGCTCCTCAAAGCACCAGAGCAGCAGTTCACATAGCTGCATACCACCTGAGAACAACTCCTGTATCGTGGAGGTGGGCTGTGAGACAGGGTAGATGAAAGCAGTCGCTCCTTTGTGCTGAGATTTATGGAGATTTTCTGAATAATGTTACTCAGCAACATGCTTTTTAGCTAGATTCTAGAGAAAATAAATGGTTATTTTTAAATAATTATATCTAATTTTATTGCTGGTTTTTGGAGAAAGAGAACAGATCAGTTTCCTCATATAGACATTCTTAAAGTCCCACCTAAACTAAATGATTTTAGAATAAAATTTGTTTGTTTAAAAAGTTTAGGTAGGCCCCGGGGATTTAGATCTGTGGTTTCGGCTCCTGCTGCGCAAGCACAAGAGCAAGGACCCGAGTTCGATCCCCGGTACCAAAAAAAAAAAAAAGTTTAGGCAGTATCACTTGGCAAATCTATTCTTTACTAGATTCTTTTCATTCATTATTTATTGTATTTTTTTATTAATGCAAAATGTTTACATTTCTTATGTGGATTTTAAAATACCTACAAAAATACAAAATTATTAAAGAGGAGCCTAGTTTTTAGTGCCAGCTTTAAAAGGAATTTATAACTATAAAAGTGTTACTGTTGTGTTAACATGAGGACCACTGACCTACACTCACTTGATTTTTTTCTTTCCTTAAATTCTTTTATTGGTACATTTTAGGTATACAATACGTTTACATTTATCACTGGGTGCTTGTACCTGTACATGATGTATCTTGGTTCTTATGTTTTTCCCCATTACCTGTGTGCCCTTCACCCCCCTTCCCTATTTACAAAGACTTTGTTTCCATTTTTTTCTTTTCTCATATTTTTTCCTTTCCCTTCTTTCCTTTCCCCTTCCACTCCCACTTCCCCTACCCTTTGGACCTTTTCTTCCTATTTCAAATTATCATTTATTCACTTTAATCATTTTAATCCTTATTTACATTTT